TATCCCCAGTCTGGTATTTGCCAGCTCTACTGCACTTTCAGCTTCATTCTCACAACTTTATGCACTGGCCTCTTGGAGCACACTGCCCGGCCTCCCGGCTTTGTTCCTAAATCTATACTGAAGCCTTCCACAGCTCTTGCATTCTGCATGCATGTGAAACCAGCACCATGTGGATGATGCCAAGGTCTGCTGCCAGGCCTGAGAGTAACCAGGCCCTCTTGAGTCATGGCTACAGAGATCTCCAAGAGCTTAAATGTTTGACTGCTATGAACCACATGCTAGAGATGTAACGGCCCTTCTGGAGCAGGATGCCGTGAGGCTCTCTTAAAGCAAAGTCTTTAACCTTTGCAATTTTGAGCCTGCAGTGGGTGAAGTTTTGCTGGTCCTGCCATCCCCTGAAGCCATTTTTTCCACTGTCCTGATTAAGTTTTTGGTTTCTTTTTATGCTAATCTTTTTAGCAACCAAGCTGTCCTCAGCTCCCACCTTTGCAGGTCTCCACTTTACTAAAGCTTCTTTTCTGATGTTAACTTGAAAGTAAATTACTCAGCTGTGTGTTTTGCTCTTGATTTTCAATGTAGAACTAGCTAAAAGCCCCTATCAGTGTCAGTGCCACATCCTGATGTTGGGTTACCTTGAAATTTCCTCCACCAGATTAGTCATGTGTTCTTAATCTCAGTCTTCCACAAAGTCTCAGGACATGAGCAAAATGTAGACAAATTTTCTGCCAGATCATAACACACTGCTTGAAATAAAACTGCCAATGAAGTCCTTGTTCCCAAATGCAGCCTCCTGAGCCTGGTCTTTATCAGCTGCACTACTCTCAGCATTTTGATCTTCTGAGCTTTGACCAGAATCCAGTATCAAGCTCACAGCATTTGAGGGCTGCTTCTCTAGCCAGTACCAGACCTTTTCAAACTCCTACAAACCAGTTCCAAAGGCTTCTGAACCACATGGTCACGTATAGTCCCAACAACAACCCCAGGGCTCTGGTACCAGAATCTATCTTAGTCACTTTTTCATTGCTGAGATTCAATCCTTACTCCAACCAACAAATTAAAAGAGGAAAGGTTTGTTTTGGCTCACATTTTAGACCATAGTTGAGTGACTGTGGCGTGATAGCATAGAGGGGCATGGTAGAGGAGAGCTGCTCGCATGTAGACAGGAAGCACAGTGAGTGTTGAGATGGGGAGGGAGAGATCAGGGTTCACTAAAGAATGGATTTAATGAAAATGTTTATATGATTATATGAAGGATTTAAAAGGTAGGCTCACAGTGGCTGTCTGTGGAATTCGCTGGAAGAATACAAAATGTCCATCTGTGCACTGGAGAGCCAGAGGATCTAGTTGAATCTCAAAAGTCTAGAGCTCATTGCAGAGTCCAGTGCAGGTCTGTATTGGAAAGCTGTAGGCTGAAGAGTCTGCCCTGGAAGCCTGGAGGAGACATCCAAATGCAATGGCGAAGACCAGAGCTCCTCTAAAGGAGAAAAAAGAAAGACTTCTTTTTTCATTCCCTTTGTAGTCCATCTAGACTACAGGCCTATTGTTGGTGCCACCACATCCAGGGTGAGTCTTCCTCTATCACTTTTCAGTATATGTGTCAAAAATCTACTCAGAGCTTTACTGATTTTCTAGACAGGTTTTTTTGTTTTGTTTTGTCAAGTCCACAAACACCACAACCATGATAGTGCACTCCTTGTCAACTTGGCAGCAGACACATATTCTTAAACCTTACTTAATCTCCAAATACAATAGCAAGTTTATAATTATACTTAATATGGTATAGCTAACCTAAGTACAGCTGAAAAACATAGTAATTCCCTGAACAGGATAGCAGTTTTTCCACCATACTATAACTTAAACATTATAATACAGGTTTTACAATATTTGAGAACCAAAATTTAATCTACTAACTTTATGTTACAAAGAAAGAAAATAAAGATATTCAATATATAAATATATATGCACAAGCATATTACCAAAATAGGAAAGAAATACTTAGGATAATTATAATTTATGTCCTGTAACTGGTTATGTGGTCTTAGCTGGTATTTGTAACTACCTTCTATCTTTTTTGTATTCCTCTGGCCTTCAACAAGCATCTCAGCAGGTCTTGGTTCTCTACCTGGTAAGATGACCTATACCTTCATTTTGAAGGTTCTGGGCCATTTGTCATCCTGCTTTGATTGGGTTGTTTTTCCCATTGACCTTAATAAAAGCACATGGTAATACTAGAAAGTGCCCTTAGAGATCTCCTGCATTGCAGATGCATTCTTCCTTACCTCCATTGTGGAGTAATAGTACAGTTTCCCCTTGGTAGTCTGGATCAGTCATCACTGCCAATATCCATTGTTAGCTTGTTTACTCAGAGGCATGAGAAGCCCTGAATAACCAGAGGGAAATCTTAGTTTTCAGTTCAGTGGAATCATTGTTGTGTTTTCTAGTACAAGTCTTCTCTATTCTGAAACTAAAGCTTTTTATCCAGAAAAGCATAAGATTGCAGAAACAGGAAACAAAATTTTTGCTGCTGGACTAGAGAGCATCCAGTTCATGATGGGCAAGTTCAGCTCATGTGGTAACCTGGTATCCTGTAGTCATGCATTCAGTTTCTACTAAAAAAGGCCCAATATCAGGCCAGGAGCTATTTTTCAAAGGGAGAGAAGTTATCTGCAGATGATGACAGGGCCTTGCTCCTATAGGGGCCTCCACTGTGATTCACCAGTGGGGGCCTGCCAGAGGCTCCAAACAACATTTCTGTCTGCCAGTGACACCTCAGCTACCATTGTATCTGCTGGACCATATGGACCTTTTGGCAGAGCACCCTGCACAGCAGCTTGGACCTGTAGCAGCAGATCCTTCCCTTGTTCTGGATCCCACTCAAATCTAGTAGTTTTTGAGTCAGTCACTAAATGGGCCAGAGTAATCCATTAGGTATTGTGCCTCTTTTTTGGTTGTAGAATGTTACGGCTTATATCTAGATGTCCCTTCATGCCTCACACATGTTGTTCTTGGAGAATGTGAATATGTGGCTTTTATGTACTGTATTGGCTTGCTGAACAGCTTTATACTGTTGTTTAGTGTATTCGTTTTGAATGGAGTATATTTTAAGTTTATACTTCACAAGAAAAGAAAAGTCAATTCTTAGAGCAGCTAAATAACTTGGATGATTAAATTCAGTATCCAGGATATGTACTGATATCTGCAGTTTTTATAGAGTGGCAGTTATATGTTCTTCGGGAGCTATAAGTCTTGTATTTAAAGCATTTAGCTATGGCATTGTATTAATAAAATAAATTTAGTTCCTAGTCTTTTTTTGTTTTTAACTTCAGAAATTTGGTGCCAGTCTGTCTACTTCAAATGCGGATTAGTGTAGTCTTTGGGAGAAACTGAAGGGGCTTTCTGCTTTCTATACTAGTTGAAGAACAGGAGAAAGCACTGAATGTTATCTCTGTCTACTCCATTTCCTTTAAAAGGTTTTTCCTTTAATCCTGTTTACTGGGAAACCATAAAAGATTCTCCCCACACCCCCTAATAATCAGTATTTTCCAGTATAAGCTGTAGTGGACTCTGGTGTTGAACTTTTATAAATCATTTCAACATGTACTCAAGTTCTTCAGCCTAAGGTCAGTATTGAGGGGTACAGAGAACTGTGAGACTAAGTCATATTGGAAATTTCTAGGCATAAATAAATGTACACCTGTTTAAATGACTTCAGGAGAAGGAGAAGAGAATCCAGCAGGTGTGATCTGCTATGATCTAGGACCTGAAGCCAAATATAGAAAGACTATCAGAGTTGGACAGGCTTTGCAGTGTAGGGAAAATCTCCAGTATCAAAGGTACCAAAAAGCTTGGAAGATAAGAATATGCATGGTGTCTTCTAAGTCTGTGAGGTAGATTTCCTAGATTGAAAAGTTTGTGTTAAGAGACTGTATTATTAGAAATATTAATTGTGGTAGACCTTGAATACGAAACTCAGACTTTTAGTTTTCTTTTTCTTTTTTTGAGACAGGATGGTCTTGAACTCAAGGGCTCAAGTGATCCTCCTGCCTCAGATTCCTAAGTAGCTGGGACTATAGGGATGTGCCAGTGCCACACCTGGCTGACTTTTTTGTGATCAGTAAGAAGGCATTACATTTTTTTGAGCAGGCTGATGTCATGGCTAGTGGCTGTGTAGAGTGAATTGAAAACAACAGGGCATAATATCCAGTTTTCTTTTACTTTAATGGGAAAGTATGAGTTGTTTCAAATAAAAGTTTTTTAAGCCTACAGTTTCTAACCTAGCACAAGTATCTCTTAAAAAGTCAAAAGTACTAATGATGAGTACTCAGATAATTCATAAGTAACTGAGGTGTTGTATAGTTTGGGCTTTGATGGAGTCAGACTAGCTTGAATTCTGATTTTTGAACCAACTCTTACATCTTTCTAATCTTTGCTCTTTGTCTATAGAGGGGAGCTAACGAGAGTACGATTTCAAGTGTATGAGAATTACATACTTGAATGATAATGCCTGTGAAGCACATATCAACTGCCTGACAAGTAGTAAGCATCTGTGATAAATACTTTTGATGCCCTTAATTGTTGTTGATATTATCATTATCTTATGCTAATCATTATTATATTGTTTCCATGGAACTATTTATTTTGAATTTGATCTTGTACTGTAGGAAAGCTCTTTCCATTTGGTCCAAAGATCCTGTCCTCCTCCACCTAAACCTTAGGGCCTACTGGTGGTGTTCCCTTATATTTCCCTTTGTTCTGTGTGTCCTACCTTGCCAGGAAAAGCATGACAAAATACAGGACTGCTGGGTGCTACAGAGAAGGTACCACTTTCTGCCAATTACAGGGAAGTTTAGTAAGTTTTGATTTTATAGAGAACATGTAATATTAGGTGTTTTGCTTTGTGTGTGTGTGTGTGTGTGTGTGTGTGTGTTTTAATACAGGTAGACCTTGTTAGGCTTTACACTGTTTATTCACAAATTTATACTTACCTTTACTTTTGTCAGGTTTAAGCCATTTTTTCCATACCAAACATTGCAAGGATCTGGAGAAGATGAAGAGCATATCCACATACAGCATTGGGCTCTTACTGAAGGCCGTCTTAAAGTTACATTGTTGGAATGTAGCAGGTATGTCTCTTTTTTTTGTCATTACTACATTATGGGAAAGAAAGTATGTTGAAAATATATTTATGCTCTGTTGGTGTTTATTCCCCTTTGTGTTAATTTATAATATATTATTTACTTGTATATTCTTTAATCATAAATTTAATACAAGTAGTCATTTCCATCTTATAAAGTATGGACCATATTGTAGAAAACACGCTAATGGAGGGAGTATTTATTCTACAGTAATTCCCAAACTTTTTAAGTGCATAATGGTATGGTAATATTTTAAACTCAATCTGTTAAGTTTTTCCTAGCATAACAGTTTTAAGAATTGTTATAATACCCAGGAAATTTGCTTAACTAGACTTTGAACCTCTGTGGGTTCAGAAATAATCTTGCCTCACCTCTTTGTTTCACTTCACCCCCACAGCAGGCCAAGCTGTCTTCTTATCTTGCTTGAACTACTGAACAACACTAGCTTTCTTACCTATTAACACTCTACTTCCCAGTGTGGCAGTTCAGAATGATCTTTTCAAAATACAAATCTAATTTATCAATCTGCTACTTAAAAGTCTTTAATAGTTTCACCACTGCTTTTAGGATTTGGATCCAAATTCCCAGATTAAAAGTCTCTCATATTTTTTTTCTCACCATTGTCTGCTCAAGTTTTCATTCATAGTGCTTTAGTTACACAGACCTTATTAAGAGAAGGGATTGACAGATTTTTTTCTGTATAGGCTCAGATAGTAAATATTTTAGGCTCTATGATTTACATGATCTCTGTTGCGGTTACTGAACTCTATGGTTTAGTGCAAAGGCAGTCATAGACAATATGTAAAGACTGGGAGTGACAGTGTGGCAGTAAAGTTTATATATACATTTCATAGTTTTTGTGTGTCATGAAGTGTTTTTTTTATTTTTTTTCCAACCATTTAAAAACATAATCACTGGTAACCTATAGGCCATACAAAATAGGCAGTGAGCTGTATTTGGACCACAGGCTATAGTTTGCTTGCTGTTCCCTGCATAGACACTTTAAAGTACCGAGTTCCTTATGTTGACTCTCACTTTTCCTGGCCTACTCCATTTTGTTTCTTAACCAACCATTTCTGGTTTGGCTCAAAAGCTACTTCTTGATAATCCTGATTCCTTTCCTAATCATTTCAACTACATATACATTCTCTCTATGCTACATTTCTGGGACCCTTATACTTACCACTTACTTGTTTCTTATCACTTTTAATTTTTATTTCTAATCTATAATAAAATACTTGGGTACCAAGGTTATATTTAAGTCCTGACGTGATTCAGGATTATACATCATTGTCAGAAAGCCTAATTGATAAATAATTCTTTTATCAAAAATGTCTAAATGTGCTATATTTTGTAAAAGAACTGTAGTGTACAATAAAATAGATATATTAGGCACTATGCTCAGTATTTAGAAAAACCTAGTTGTTTTGCCTTAGTGATGCTGGTGGGGTTAAGAATTGATTAAATGTTAGCTTATAGCTGTTTGACCATTAGCTTTGGAATTAACCTTTGCTCACTGTTCTCTTACTTTACCTGTGATACCACTCACTTAAAGCAATACTGTTTGATTTTTTTTGTGACCGTGTCACCTGGTAAAAATATCAAAACAGGTATTATTTGAAAGTACGTAACTGAGTTAGAGGTGAAACATGAAAACTAGCCTCTTTTATTACTATGTCCTTATATTAGTCCATTAATATTATCTACTTACATAGTCCTGTAAGTTTTGGTTACATAGCCAGCACCTTTACTGAGGACACTCTGTTGGGCATTCATGTTTTTCATCTCTTTCTTTAGCTCCACTAGATTTTGATTAATGTCTTCTCTAGACTCACTGATCATTTATTTTATTTGGTTCATTATCTGATTAGTTATATTTTCTCTATATTCACCAGGCACCTTACTGTTTCAGCTCCTTTGATAACGTTTCAGACCTTTCTGCTTTGTGGCTTATGATTTCCCTCAGCCTCACTGTCCCCTGAACTGGTTTTGGGGAGAATTGGGAGCTTTTAGAGGCAGTTTGTTGCCTTATATTTTCATGTTTCTCTTTTTGTTTGTTTATGTCCTGGGTTTGTGGCTTCTTTGGCCCAGTGCCAAGTTCTTGGTGCGTGAGCTGCAGTACTATTTATGAAACCCAGGCAATCTAAATATTGGCATACAGAGAAAAACCTATTGACAGTAACTGACATCTTGGCTCTAGTATTAAAGTCAGTGACAACAGTGGCATCAGATATCAGCTGCATACTGACAAACCCTAAAAACTACTCAAACCCCTCCTTAACCAGAGCAAAGAGATCTATGATTTTAGTGAAGACACTTAGGCCACCCAAATATTGACCTATAATCATTCAGATCACTAATTTTGCTGGATGTAGGCAGCAGTGCAAGAACTCAAGCATTCTATTGGACTAAATGCCATCTCCCTCAGGTCCACCCCCTCTGAAGATACACCCACCAAACCTGGCTTCCCACCACAAGGGGCCCCCAGAAAAATGCTATTTAGTGTGGGTGCCCTTGGTTCCTTTATGCTCCTGTCTCCCAGGAGCAGGCACAGTGTTCCCCTTGGAGGTACACTTATCTCAAGATCTTTGTAGGCGCTGTCTTTATAAACCTGATCACATAAAAGTTACCCATGCTGTAGTACAATGCTTCTGTTTATGTAGTTTAAGGATCACTTAACAGTGTGTATGAGAGAGGGAATAAGTTACTATTCTCAACTCTTCCTAGCTTATCTTATAAGTCTGAATATTCTTTCCATAGTCTTATTGAAAGTTTACATTATTATTTATATTATTTACATTTTCACATTATTCTTATTCCATTATTATGTAAACCTCTTCCTTGATATAAAATCATAACTTGGTTCAGTTAGATTTTAAGTTTGTAGGATTCATGTTAAAGAGATGTTACTAAGCATCTCAGTTATCCTTTTTTAATATAAATTCATCTTGTGTGATTTATTTTCATTTCTGAAGCAGAGTGATACTAGAAAAAAATGGTAGGACAAATAATAGCTCCTTTCTTGGAGAAAGGACCAAAAAAAAAAAAAAAAAAACCCAAAAAAAAAAAAAA